AGATTTGGCCGCTAACGGTGTATACAAATTCTCTGATGAGCCAGGCGGCGAATATCTCCTATGGAAGAAAGTTTTCCTGCGCCCCATTCAGGCTGCACGCCTGAAATCCGATGAAATACTCACACACTTGATGGCGTGGCTAGGTAGAACCGGTTGTCCCTCCAGTCGTCTGCCTAGCAAAGACGTTTCAACGAGAGAAGATAGGCCCCTTGAAACCTGCTTGTTTTGAATGCTTCTCCTGATGGAAACCTCTCGTACTGGGAATAACTGTGCTCGTCTGCACAGTCGTCCATCTCCTCGGTCATCAGCAAGTCTTCAAGTCATACTTCCCAGACCACTGTACTCATGCTGAGAGACGAATATTGAGAAGTGTGCAACAAGATGCACATCCGTCGGAATACGGATGCCTGAGTGCAGAGAAACCCATACCACAATCCAGTCCACTTCTGAGACTGAACCCTTACCTCGACGACCAGGAGGTACTGCGAGGTCATCGCCTACACAAAGCTGAAATGGACTCACCCAGCAAGTACCCCATCATCCTTCCGGCTAACCATCATGTAACGAAGCTGTTAGTACAACACCACCATGAACTAATCCATCATCAAGGCCGCCACTTCACAGAAGGTGCCCTCAGAGTGAGTGGACTCTGGATCGTAGGCGCCAAAAGATGTATTACAACTGTTCTGCAGTCTTGCTTCCATTGTCGCAAGCAACAAAGCCAGACTCTACACCAGATGATGGCTGACCTACCCAAGCGCCTGAGCTCCAACCCAATGTTCACCAATGTAGGCCTCGATGTATTTGGCCCTTGGTCTGTGTATACACGGACCAGGGGTGGTCAAGCTAACAGCAAACTATGGGCAGTACTCTTCACATGCCTCAGTATTCGAGTGGTCCATATCGAAGTCATCGAATCTATGGACACCTCTTGCTTCATCAATGCCCTGAGAAGGTTTCAAGCCCACAGAGGCCCAGTCAAGGTATTCAGATCTGACTGTGGAACCAACTTTGTAGGCGCTTGTAAAGAACTATAAATTGAAGATGGCATTCACCCTGACTCGCCACTCGATGGCTACCTTAAAGCTAACAAATGCACATGGATATTTAATCCTCCCCACGCATCTCACACGGGAGGAGCATGGGAACTCATGATTGGAATAGCTCGTTGGATCCTTGATTCGATGCTGGCAAAAGCACCTAAACTGACACGAGACTCTATCTACCTTTATGGCAGAAGTTGTGGCCACTATAAATGGTCGACCTTTAGTTCCAGTCTCTTCGGATCCTGAGAATCCGACCATTCTCACTCCAGCTGCCTTTGCTAACTCAAAAGACGGGTGATTGGCCCACGCCATTAGGGAACTTTGATTCTAAGGACTTGTGCAAACAACAATGGAGACAAATTCAACAGCTTGCCAACACTTTTGGAACCGTTGAAAGCAAGAGTACCTGTCTACCCTACAAGACCGCCATAAATGGAAGACCAAAGAATCAACCTCATCCTTGCTGAATGACAAGGATGTGCATCGCAACATGTGGCCTATCTGCAAAGTCAATGTCCTGATGGTGAGGTCACTAGATTCCTCCTGCGACCATCAGACCTTCACCAAGAAGCTCTACACCAGACCGGTCACCGACCTTGTGCTACTGCGGAGAAGGGCTGAACTTGAAGATTGAACCTCAAGCTTTGCATGCTTTGCTTTGTTTGATGCTTTATTAATGTCTACTGTTTTTCTTAGTTATCAAGCTGTTTATCTTAGTTATATAGTTATCTGCTATTCAGTTAGTATTACTGTTTACTGCTTATCTTAGTTTATAGGTAATTTTTTCCCCCTCTTCTTTTAATAGTGAAATTTACAATTCCAGGCGGGGAGTGTGCTGTCCAGCCAGTGTATGGGAATTGGATAGTTAGGTAGCAATTGTGAGCTGTTCCCTTAAGGGAATGCATCATGGTAAATGTAGTTAAGGTATCCTGGAAAATGTAGTCCATGTCACATGACCACATCTGTAATCCACTAAACTGAACCTCGATGGGTTGGGGGAGTTTTCCTCACTCTTGGCTGAACTCATGGACTCGTGGTAACTGTTCTACTTCTATCGTTACAAGATGGAAGAAAAAGGATAGGAGATAAACATATTTTTACCTACAAGACAGATATGCAAAGGATTGGTCATTAAAGAAGCACTTCGTTACAAATGTTATGAGTATACCTGATGAACTAATAAAAGTACTTTGTTATGGATGTTTTGTGGAGTTTATCTATCTGCATCTGTACAGGATGCAGAATACTTTGTTTTTGTTGAAAGATAGTGAGGCAGAAAAACCCTTCATTTTCAAAATGGGGATGTTTCCTGATTTTCTCAGAGAGTAGTCACTCCAGAAACTGTCAAAGGTATTTATAGTATATAAACCTGGCCAGCATGTATTTTATAGAATAGATTGCCTAGGTTTGTTCTACACATCTAGTGGTCGGATCCTCCAGGCCTTGAAAGATCAGTATTCTCAGGGTTTTCTGCAGACATTTTTCTCAGAGCCCCAGCTTAACAGAAACCCATTTATTCGTAAAGGCAACTTATTAGTTTATTTATTTATTTATTTGATTTGTCAATTGCTTACAAGATAATAGGTATAAGTATAAACATGAATAAGAATACAGGAAATAGGTACAAATAAATGGGGACAATAGGACTTATGCACTTATGCACACCCATTACAGACCTCTTAGGAATGGGGTGAAGTCAATAGTGGATAGTTTAAGGTTAAAGGAGTGGGGGTTAGAGGATGTAACAACAGAGTCAGGTAGTGCATTCCAGGCATTGACCACTCTGTTGCTGAAGTCGTACTTTCTGCAATCAAGTTTGGAGCGATTAACATTGAGTTTAGACCTGTTGTGTGCTCTTGTATTGTTGCAGTTGAAGCTGAAGTAATCATTGACTGGTAGGACATTGTAGCAGATAATTTTGTGCACTATACTTAAGTTCAATCATAGGCGATGTAGTTCAAGGTTGAAGCCAGGTGATATAGGGTATTCTGTCGGGAGCACAGTAGTACTCTTCTCGTGAAATACTTCTGGACTTGCTCAATTGTATTAATGTCCAATATATAGTGTGGGATTCCAGACATGTGAGCTGTATTCGAGTATTTGTCTAGCAAAGGTTTTGTATGCCCTAGTTACCATTGTATATTTCCGGAGAAGTTTCGTAAAATTAGATTAACAACTCTTAATGCCTTTTTGGCAATGCTGTTATAGTGAGTTCTGGGATTTATACGTATTTAGAATATCAGAATTCAGGACAATTGCGATCTCATGTTAAAAGGCATCAGTGAATATAATATGTCTGCCGACTGTATACTAAACAGGCGTGCAAAAAGGCGTGCAAAATTCTATGCACACTTCTATGCAAGTTCAAAAAACACCAAGGACCCTTGATTTCAGGCGCGCCATTAATGACCCGGGTTAAGTCTACACCCCACCCCCATTAAATACCTGATTGTATCTCTGGTAACCTCCCGAAGGCGGCTGCTTGAAGGGCTGCAGCTGGTAAAATGCTTCTCCGGGGGACCTGCCGCCATTGTAGCCCAGATGCCTGGGACTGGCATTGTGGGGCCTACGTGGTGTGAGCGCCGCCGCCGAGCCTCCAAACCAGCTTCCACTATCCCCGCACATTTGGAAGCGGGGAGAGCGAGGAGTAGTGTCGTACGGCCGCGAGCGGGATCCATAAGGCGACATGTGGCGAGGGCTTCGGTAACCCTGTGGAGAGGCTCCTTCAGAGGCAGGGCTCAGAAACCCGGAGACACTCGAAGACGGCGGGGTGGGAGACCGAAAGCCCTGCCGATACATGGCGATCTCGGGGATGCTCCTACAGCAACTGCCGATTTCCTTCGCCTAGTCCGGAGGAGGAGGAGTTCCGGGTCGATTCGATTGCAGCCCTCTTTCGAAATTGCTCCGCCGAGCGTCTTCCGTTTCGCTCTGCAAGCTTGACGTCTCTTCGGTGTGAATTAGTAGAAATCGAGACTTTTGACTTGCCTGTTCTTAACGACATTGCAACATGTAGGATGCATTAGTCGAATCTAGATGGGTTTACACTTATACAATTAAAATTTTCAGTACGGGCGTGCGGTAGAAATCTAAAGTTTCAATATAATTGAATACAATTGATATATTTATTAATTTATATTGCGGGTTTCTCCTTTAACGTGTATGTTGGAATTGTATGTTGACCTTTTGCTACGTTTCCAAGTAGTATCAATTTTTTCTTGGTACGGAATTTCTCTTGAAATCGCGCAATATTTGGACCTCGCAATCTACGTATTCGACTTTGGAACGAAAGTGTGACTGATTTTTGGAGGGATTAGTTTCCGACCTGTGTGTGCTTGGGCTGCGAGGCTAAACTGTAGTAAGAGCCTTCTTTCACATTTTGCTGGTCGATCAGTCTGGAAGGGGACTAAAAGAGGGCGGCAAAACTACAACGTTATTTTTCTGTATTTCTTTTTGTTTCCTTCTAAGGTCCCTTTTATGGTTCGCCGTGGGTGATGGGTGTTAGGAACGGATTGTTCCCGGTTACGGGGAAACTTGGGAGAAACAATATCTGCTTTGGCATGTAGTTGCCTCAAGAAAAAAAGTAGGATTTTTCCTCAGGCTTGCAGGCTATTCCATCCTAAATGTACCTAAAACGGATAGATCTTCAAAAGCGTTAAAACAAGGAAAGTCGGGAACCATTTATTGGTACACACAGTGGTGTATTAACCATTAAGCAGACTAAGCATGTGCTTAGGCACCAGGCCCAAAGGGGGCACCACAAAATTAAGAAAGAAAAACCAACGAAGATTTGTAAAAAATCTTTAATGTACGAAGGAGTAGGGCACCAAGATTTGTCAGTACTTAGGACATCAGTGAGTCTTAATCTGCCACTGATTACACAACTTCCAAGACATAGTTTCAAAGCTCGCGCTTAGGTCCTTTCACTGCCCGTTCCGCCCGCCCCGCCCCCCGGGACTGAGCTGAAGTTGAAACAAGATACCCACCACGTCTGCGAAGTGGACGCCTCTGAAGACTTGGTACAAGAGTCCAAAGTTTTTGAGAGTGCTGATATCAGTCCTCCCGTAACTTCGCTGGTCGGCCAATGTCAGCTGTCGGCATGTTGGGGCCTACGATAGGAAGAAGCAGTCGCGCCATAGATCATCTGAGGAAAGCCCTATGCTCTCCGCTGGTTAGCGGTGTCGGCTCTTTTCTCGGTCCCCTGGGCTTCCCTCAACTGTTGCGACTTCCCTCCTGCCCTGGCAGTTTCAGGGGGCTGCAGCAGGGAAACTGCCTCCATCCAGGTATTTTTAACATTCTTCATTCAGTGAAGGCATTGCCGAAGATTGTGATACTTTATAAGGCGCTGTATACCGCAGCAAAGAAGAGCTTAGAGAAAAGCGTTCAGGAGAAACTCCATTTCGGAACCTTTCATTTGCAACAGAATATAATAAATTGAAGCGATTCAGGAAGAAAATCTTAGCTTTGTGGTCGGTGGGGCCAGAAACAACTCGATGGCGCATAATTAATCAAATTCAAACGAGATCATAATTGTTGCAAATTTGGGAGAAGTTCAGCAAATCTTATTTTGGAAATGAAAATCTTTGAAAACCAAAATTTCCAAAGAGTGTGTCGGGGCTAGTCCTCTGTCAGCAAAAGATAGGATTTTTAGAAAAAAAAGTTAGGGTTATCTTTGCTTACTTTTTGTAGGTTATCACCTCTGAAATGTGTGCTGAGTGTAACTGGACATATTGAATACAAAATAATGCTTACTGTTGCTACCTAAAAATAACCTGCTTTAGCTGGAGAATTATTTCTAATTAAATTACAGTGTTTTTACAGATTACATTAAATACATAGAATGGCTTAAATATTCATTGCAAGAAAATAATTAAATTATTAACACAGGTTTATGTCCAGTTAAGTCACAACAGATAGTTAATCTTGTTTGGTCTGAAAAAGCTAAGCAAATAATTGGCTATACAGTATTTGGCTAGAAGACTGTTAATGAGATCCTAATGTTGTATACTCATCTGAGAAATTGGAGAAAAACATCTGAAAATAAGGCAATGGCAAACACTTTTGAAAGATGTGTCCATGGACTTAAGTGACTTTGAAGTCATCAGGAGCTGATTTTGGCTTGTGGAAATCTTTACTGCAGTGGGCTTTGTAATAGAGATTGACATTTTCAACATAATTTGTTTATTAATTTTATTATTTTATTAATTTTTATTCCCACTTTTTCTCTAGGAATTTAAGCAGGTGACCCATTTGATCTCTCTCCTAAACAACTGAGGCTGGGGCTTCTCATGGAGACAGCAGAGAATGTTTGATAATGGATTTAAGTGGTTAACAATGCTGCGATTAATCTGATTCCTTTTTCATTAATGAGAAATTTGCCTTACTGAGTTAGAAAATTGATTTATCTAAACCGGTATTCTAGCAAAATCAGAAAAGTTGTGCAAGTCCTATGGCAGAAGTCTTTACTAGGTCTGCATATTATTCTTTTAATACAAAACTACATAATCTAAGGCCTACTGGTTTCATGTAGCCCCGAGAAGAGGTGTTTCCATGGAGTTCCTTCAAGAGTTTCACTGAATTGAGATTTTCTAAATGAAGCAGACACATACAAAATACAGGTAGAATACCCATAGCAGCAATATTTAACTATAATTACATTTAAATAAAAAACAAATAAAACTATATTTGATTTTACTTGCCCCAGTCAATTGTTTGCCATGCTCTTGCTCCCTTAGATATATGTCCAAGTATGAAACACAAAAGCTGTGTATCTCTTTGCTTCAGAAGAGTTTGCTGGTTACATTTTAACAGTAGATCCAAATCTAAGCACTCTTCTACAAGGTCCATTCTCCCAATCTCCAATGTAAGGCTAGACCACTTGCCATTCTGGAAAAGCAGGAATTGATGACATTTTTGTACATCTTGCCCTTTTGCTGCTAGAAAGACAATCTCTGAAATTATATTGCTCTACTTGAACAGTAGTGTTTCATTCTTTCCACTGGCATAAACAGGGCAGTCTGGTCCTCTGTCTTGTACAAATGCTTCCAGTTCCCACCTTCACCCCCATCCCTCTTCTTTGTTCTGAGTAACTATTTTATACTGAGCTGTCAGTCTGCTTGCCATGAATAGAATAGAATAGAATAGAATAGAATAGAATAGAATAGAATAGAATAGAATAGAATAACAGAGTTGGAAGGGACCTTGGAAGTCTCCGAGGCCAACCCCCCGCTTAGGCAGGAAATCCCATACCACTTCAGACAAATGGTTGTCCAACATCATTTTAAAAACTTCCAGTGTTGGAGCATTAACAACTTCTGGAGGCAAGTTGTTCCACTGATTAATTGTCCTAACTGTCAGGAAATTTCTCCTTAGTTCTAAGTTGCTTCTCTCCTTGATTAGTTTCCACCCATTGCTTCTTGTCCTGCCCTCAGGTGTTTTGGAGAATAGCTTGATTCCCTCTTCTGTATCGCAGTCCCTGAGATATTGGAACACTGCTATCATGTCTCCCTTAGTCCTTCGTTTCATTAAACTAGACATACACACTTCCTGCAAATTGTTCTTCATATGTTTTAGTCTCCAGTCCCTTAATCCAGGGGTGGGATTCAAATTTTTTAACAACCGGTTCTGTGGGCGTGGCTTAGTTGGTGGGCAGGGCTTGGTGGTCATGTGACTGGCTGGGCGTGGCCAACTCTATCACTCATCTCATCTCCTCGCCTGGCCCCTTATGACTGTGGGGATGCTGCAACAGTCATAAGTGTGAAAAATGGTCATAAGTCACTTTTTTTCCAGTGCCATTGTAACTTTGAATGGTCACTCCACACAAAGTACCAGCAAAGGAGGAAAAAAAAACTCCAGAAAAGTTCCAGAGACAGGAAGTCTAGTCCTGCCAAGAATTGAATAAGGGTTAACGGAGAGGCAATTTCTGTAAGCAACACCAGAAAGTTTCCTTCCTGCCTTTTTTACAGGATTAGGCCAGTAATTTCTTCTAACAACCGGTTCTACGAACTGCTTAGAATGTTAACAATCGGTTCTAGAGAATAGGTGCGAACCTGTAGAATCCCACCCCTGCCTTAATCATCTTTGTTGCTCTTCTCTGCACTCTTTCTAAAATCTCAACATCTTTTTTACATCGTGGCGACCAAAACTAAATGCAGTATTCCAAGTATGGCCTTATCAAGGCATTATAAAGTGGTATTAACACTTCACGTGATCTTGATTCTATCCCTCTGTTTATGCAGCTTAGGACTGTGTTGGCTTTTTTGGCAGCTACTGCACACTGCTGGCTCATATGAAAAGCTGGATCTTTTCTTTTTTAAATAAATTGCTCTTGAAATGCTGGCTATTTCTTTGAGTATATTATTCTTTTAAGAAGTATAGTGGAACTTTGAAATATCAACTTTCTTTTGACTTAAGTTGATGAAATCAACAAGAGTTATGTCAAGTTTCTCCTTTCTTTCTAGTGACCTGAAAAACTGCTGTCTTTTTTTAAACCAGTCCTCCAAAGACCTGTCCCCCTAAAAGTGAAAGGAATTAGCGCTTGATTTTTTGTCATATGGGGGATGGGCTAAATTCAGAAAAGTCCATCACATGTCTTCTCTGTTAACCATGGTCCAGGCACAATAATTTGCCATTATTAAGGCCCAAGTAAAGGAAAAGGTTGCAACCCAAAAAGAATTTCTTCAGTTTGTTTCATTTCTAGCACAATTCAAGCAGCTAAAAACAGCAGGGTGGAAAAGCTGCAAAGCTAATAAAACTATAAAATCAAAATTTCCCCTTTCATATTTTTTCTCTTGGCATTGTTAATTCAAAGCTTTTTCCCAAAAAAAAAGTTTTTCTTCTTTTCTTTTTTTCCTTCAGTTGAAAGAGTGGTAAGATGCCTGGAAAATATCTTTCACTTTTTAAAACTTTTTTTTTCTTATTTGGAGGACATTTTCAAAGGTTGAAGAAAACCATGTTAAAAAGTTAAGGCAGCTACGAGTTTAAGAAAAATCTATATGAGAGAAATACTTATAGATTAGTTTAAGGCTCACAAAAATGTTTAAGCTTTCATAACTTTTAATCAGATAATATGTTATAAAAAGCAGGAGGGAAGCAGAGGTAAGGAGAAAAGGTAATGATGTTTGCAGGATTTGGATTTCCAAATAGAAATTATGTACATGGGTTAAGAGGAAAAGGTAGGGTTTTTTTTCAAATGGACTATTTGTGTATAATAGAACAGTTAAACTAAATTTAAGCTGTATTACAGTCTCTAAGGATTTCAGATGGCATCTAGAACTGCCTCTGAATTACTAACATAAGCAAGTATTCTCGGATTTTATCAAAGTTATGAGACAGAAGTATACAGTGGTTCAGTTTCTAAGGGAAAAAGATGCTTTGCAGCTGCAACACAATTTCACCAGAAAATTTTTTGGTTTAAAATGTTGACATGCATGCCTGTAACACATTCCAAAATATGTTTTTTCCCCTTTAGATTTGTAGTCCTGCAAAATCCTGAAACTCATCTCTAGGTGAAAGACATGGTTATAGATTTTAGATTTTACGCTAGGTTGCAAAAAGAAAAGCCTATATCTCCATGCCCAAATAAAGCTCCCAAATAAAGCTATCTGTTTCAGCTACTTTTTGTTTTCTTCTTTCTACCAAAAATACACTTTTTTTTAATCTAACAATGAATGTGGTTCTGAGCACAGTTAGATTTTCCATTTTTTAAAAAATGTTCATTTGCTGATACATAAATGTTCATTTGCTGATACATAAATGCTTAAATGTAGTAAATATTCTATTCTAAATCATAAATCTTTCATCAAATAGTCCCTTTCACTTAAAAGTCTTAGCCAATTTATACTCTTGTGCTAGAAAAAACAATTGTGCCTCCCCTTGTAAATAAGGCACTCAAAAATATTTAAAAGAAAACTAGGCTGTACGTTTTAACATAAGCACATGTAACAAAAGCATATTTTCAAAGGATGACAGAATTGGATTAAATACCAAGATTTCTCTCTGAAAGAAGGAAGGAAATTTTTCAATACAAAAGATAATCGTGGTCAAAATTACTAGCGGTTTCCCCTGCTTCTGGTCTTTGCAGAAATTTGCTCTTTATGATGTATGTTTAGAAGTTGCAAATTATGCTAATTAAAGTGAACAGTTTTTTTGTGAAATAGGACACCAGCCTAATAATGAACTGATGATTGTAACAGCCTTTTCCTATTCATAATCAGGTGCTGATACAGTGAAGCCACTTGATGGTGTGAGGATTCTTGATCTCACAAGGTTTGTACTGCTTTGGATGTAGTTCATAAAATTATTAAATCATCTCATGAAAAATCTTTGACAAAAATGTTAACCTTTTTAGGGGAGGGACAATAAGATTGTAATTATTTGTGAAAGAAAGTCAGAGATAATTAATGTATTTTGATAGTTTTTTCTTTTTCCTCGTTTTTTGTTTATTTCTTGCTCTTTTTCTTACTTTCCCTCCCTCCTTTATTTTTATTTGTTGTTTATTTTTAGGAAAATTCTTAATAAATTTTAAAAAATAATATTTTTGTTATTTGCTGGATTGCCTAGGTTAGATTGAATGGATGTGTTCCACATCCATTTCCTTAAATGTTGCCATTTGATGAGACCTCAGAGATGTACCTTTGCTGGCTGCTGTAGGGATATCTAATGTGAAGAATCCCGGGGACCCGGCACTTCCTCAAGTATTGAGCTAGCTAGGATGTGAGAGCGTGCTTGGTCTAGTGCCTGGGGGAAGAGCTCTCTTATTTTTAGCCATGTTTTATGGATTGTTATGAGCTGTCTAGAATAATTATATGACATAGATGGACACATAAGTCCTATAAAAATAAATAAATGTATACATACATGCATCAATTTCATTATGAAATGTTGCAGAGTGCTTGCAGGACCTTTTGCCACAATGAACCTTGGGGATCTTGGAGCTGAAATAATCAAAGTGGAGAAACCAGGTAAACATGATTTTTTAAAAAATATGAAAGATACTTATGGGATGATATTTTTTACATTCCAGATTATTTTAGTTTATCAAGAAAAGCATATTAAAAATAACTAATGTTAGAGAATGAGGGAATGGTGAAAATTATGATAGTAATATGGTATGAAAATATGAATATTTTTCATCCTGTCTCAAAATTGGAAAACATGGAGTCATAACAATGGTCACGGTTCCACAAAGACTTAAATACATCTAAGACATTTTATCTCAAGGCTTTAAATATCCTTGGTTTTGACAATAATTTTTTCTTAAGAGTGAGTAGATTGGGGGAACCTGGATATTTAGATATTCAAAACATTAATATTTAAAATAAAACCAAATAGAGAAATGAAACTCATCTTTCTTCAAATTCTTGAAGTACATAACATTTTAATAGAATACTAAATATTACAGCATTTTTATTTTTCTTTCTTAATTCAAGACAGCTTAAAGTATCTGGTTTAAATAGAATTTTAAATCTTTATAATATTTTAAAAATTGAACTACAATTATTAACTTCTCTATAATCATGTTTTTCATCTGGAGTGACAAATGATAATAAATTAGATCTATTGGTTGGAATCCTTGGTAAAGTGCTACAAATGACCCAATTGTCACTCAGCATGATCTCAATTATTGTAAGATTATGAAAAGCAATAAGAAGGGTGTGGATAATATGTGCTCCTTCTCTTATTGATTATCATGAAGCATATTCAAAAGAGTTGATGGTAATTGGCATCTAATAACAACTGGAAAGCCATATATTGCTCATCATGGTGAAGATGAAACAAAATATATCCTTATTTACAAATCTGAAAGTGTCTGCTGTTTGTGGAAATGATGATAAACTTTACCCTGATTCTGTCTGCTAAATTCTGCATGTGTTGTCCTGCTTTTCAAAAGATATTATTTGTTAGTATTGCTCTGCAAATTTGCTTAAAATTACTGTAGATCCAAAATTAGCTATAAATGTTAGATTAGAAAAAACATAAAGAAACAATGATATCAGTAATAAAGAATGTTATTTTCTCTGTTAGACTGCTGTGAGAGTCCAGGTTAGGGAAAACTCTGCCTCCTTCATCTTGGGACTGAATCTGCCAAGCTGTTTAGCCCTGCCTCTGTTGCCATGGTTACCTAGCTTTCGACTCAGTCCCTCATCGGAGCTGGTCGTGTCTTCGCTCTCGCTTCAGCAGAACTAGGAATTTAATTTATTCTCAATCTTTGGTATTGGTTATTGGCGCTGGACTTTGAATCCTGCTCCTGGGGACCCGTAGAGCAAGCGCAACACTGCACGGAGTGGGAAGGGCTTCATCTCCCAGCGGTGAGGGCATTTGAGTGGCCATCAGAGATGTAAGTGATCCCGGCAAGCCGGGCGGGCAGCAATAAGGGCTACATTGCTAATTCCCTATTTTAAGGCTGTGAACTATCCCACGCCAATGGAAAGCCTCTGCAGGTTAGTGCCAAACAGCTGATCGGTTTCAGCAGCTTGGCGCATTCCGGTCTCCCGCCCTTTGTTAAGGGCTGCATTTAAGGCCTCACCGCAGGTTGTTCTGCTTGCCTGGCAGACGAAGGGGCAGACGAAGATAAGGCAGAGGCTACCTTCAATCTGATCCTTGGCCTAGAAGTTAAAATGGAGGGTGCAAGAAACCTGTTATTAGAGGCAGGTTGCAAAGAGGCCCTTTCCCCTGCTGTAGGACAGGCCTCATCAAAGACCAAGAAAAAGGCTAAGGCCCAATCATCAGCCCAAGAGGCAGTGGCCAGAATCAAAGCCAAGGCCATTGCAAACAAGAAGAAAACCAAAGCTGAAGAAAAGGTGGAAAAGAGGAGGCATGAGGCCCTGGAAAGGCAGTTTGCCAAGGGTCTGGACCCCATTCAAATGTTGCCAGGGCAGACACAGAGATAGTTACTTTCCAACTGCCATAGGCTTGGTCTCCAGATGGGGCTGGTGAGCTTAACTCCTCCCTGCCACAGGATTTGAGCAGAACTAGCCCTAGCAACAGGCCTGTTGCTTGGCCAGAATCTTCTGCTTCTGGCTGTAATCAGCCAAATATATGGCAAATGCCTCCAGTTGAAGCCACTTTTACCTCTAGGGCTGCAGGTCTTTATCCTGGGGTTTACACAGGAGTAGATGTTCCAGGTCATATGATAAATGTGGCCGCTGTTGCTGTTAGGCAGGGTATTGTTGATGGTATTAAACAGATTTTGGGCCCTACTTGGTTAGCACCTGTACAAGCCTCAGGAGGGAGTTCCACTGGGGAGGACTGATTTTACTAGAAGCCGCCTTGCAGGCCTCACACTATTCCCACAGCGAATGGCTGGGATATCAGGAGGCATGTACTATAGACCAATCAGAACACAATCATTCCTCTGATTCAGAAGATGAAGAAGGGAAAGTGAGGGATTCTAATTTGTCAGAAGATGAAGGCGTTAAACCTGAACTACCAGTGTTTACAGGATTATTTAAGCCTACCTTGTTTAAGTCCCTCTTGTATAAGGCCAAGGATATTGCCCAGCTAGCCCTGGATGAGGCTAAAGTAGAGCCTTCCCCAGAAGGCCAGTCCCAGGGAGACCCCTTTTTTCTGCAGCCTACTGTCCAAATAGAGGTATTACCATCACCCAAGCTCTTTCTTGATGTGGTGCTTAAACAGTGCACCACTCCGGGTCCTAGCCCTACTATCAACAATAAAAGATTTTATAAGGTGGGCCTGAACTTGGCCAAGGCCTTGCAATTGCCCATGGTAGACACCTCGGTGGCTAGCTCAACATCGATGTCAGGGTCTCCTACAGAGCCAGAGGACGTGCTGAAAGGGGATGATAATGGTCTGAGCAGACCCTGCAAAGGACTCATCAGCCAGCTGCCTGGGCGGTCCTGGCCTTGACTCACTGTCCTTGCTCACTGCCTTGTTCACGCGAGCTTCGCTTCACTGGCTAAGACAATTGCAAGAGCATGTGTCGGCAGGGGACATTAGAGCGCATCAAGATTTGAATAAAATCATTGCTGCTACTGAGTTTACTGAGTTTACAGCAGATGCAACACTTAATTCGGCTGTTTGTTACCAAAGCTATAGCGTCCTCAATGACAGTGCGGAGATAGTTGTGGTTCTGCAACTGGCAGGCGGACTCTAGGAGGAAACATAAAGTAACTTCAGCCCCACTTGGGGACAAGCTATTCGGAGATTCACTGAAGCCCTTCCTGGTGGAGACCAGGGACAAGAGGAAGATAGTCCCTTCCATCCTCAAAAGGTCTGAGACGAGACCGTCTCCATACTTACGTCCCTCTTTTGCCAAGATTCTGTTTCTAGATTTTCGCATTTTCAAAGGGCCTTTCCAGCCTGGCAAGAGCAACAGCCAGAGTGTTCAGGTAGACAATTACCACCATCTCAGGGCATGCGGTCCTTTCGAGGCGGAGGGGGTCAGCCTTTCTGATGTTCCAAGTTACTGCATGTCTCAACCCCCCCCCCCCCATCGGAGGCTTCCTTTCCATCTTTGCGTCTTGATGGGAGAATATAACATTTGACGCCTGAGTTTTGCAGACAGTGAGGTCAGGACTTCGTCTCAAATTCCTCTCCCCTCTGAGGTTCTTTATTCACTGTCCCATTTCTCGGGACAATGCTAGGAGGGTCCTCATGGAAACCGCCCTTCAACACTTAGTGAATATCCAAGCTATCCAGGTGGTACCAGAGGATCAGCAAGGGCAGGGATTCTATTCCCAATTATTTGTCATTCCAAAGGCCTTGGGGAGCTGGAGAGCAATCCTGGACCTTAAATGTCTGAACAACTATATCCTTTACTAGCATTTCAGAATGCAGTCGCTATAGATCATCCTAGAGAGCGTTTGAGAGGTAACTTCCTCACGTCAATAGATCTGAAGGAGGCTTACCTCCATGTGCCAATTTGGCCTTTTCATCACAAATTTCTCCATTTCCATTATTATGGACAGCATTACTATTCAAGCTTTCGTCAGCCCCCAGGGTATTTATAAAAATACTGGCTGCCCTTGCGGCTTATTTAAGAGCCCTGCCAGTGAGAGTTCAATGTTACTTGAATGATATTTTAAGACAATTGTCCTCGGACCTCACTGACAAGAGAGATCTTCAATTTACTTTACAGGTGCTGCAGTCGCATAGATTTTCGATAAATATCAAGAGGAGTCATCTGCTTCTGACTACCTACATTTGGGGGCGGTCATAGACACAGTTTCCTGTGAAGTTTTCCTGTCTCCAGATCGACAAAGGAGTCCTTAGCAAAGCAGATTCGATAGCAATGCACAGTGCCTCTGTTTCTACTGTCGCAACTCCTGGGCAAGATGGTATCTTGTATATCCATCATCCCATGAGCTAGACTTCATGCCCGGTCATTTCAATGGTTTCTCCTATCCTATCAGAAGTCAGGCAGGAACCATTCATCAATCAAGGTCCTGGTCCCTCTCAATTATCCGATCTTTCTGGTGGTGGCAGTCCCCAGCCATCAGCAGGGGTCAAATCTTCAAGGAGCCCAGTCACATGGTTAATACCACAGATGCCAGCCTTTGTGGTTGGGGAGCGTATCTTCAATCGGAAATGGTTCAAGATTGGTGGTCTCAGCTGGACAGCTCTTGACTGATCAATTGGTTGGAACTCAGGGCCATTCATCTGGCTCTCAGGCACTTTCTGGACAAAGTAGCAGGGACTCATGTCCAAATACTGATGGACAATATGGCAGCCAAGGCCCACATCAACCATCAAGGGGGAACCAGATTCAAGAATCTTTTTCAGGAGGCAGAGAAGTTAGGTCTTTGGGCAGAGAGGCACCTGCTGTCCGTCAGGGCAGAACACATTTCGGGGGTTGACAATGTACAAGTTGATTGGCTCAGCAGAGCCAAAATAGATCACTCAGAATGTTGTCTCCATTCAGGTTTGTTCAGAGAGATGACAGAGCTTTTTGGAACACCGTCCGTGGACTAGTTTGCCTCTCCAGTCAACGCCCAACTGCCCAGGCACTTCACCAGGTTCGCTACACTGGGGGCGGAGGGGATCAATGCTCTTCAGAGCCAGTAGCCATGGGTCTCCTGTATGTTTTTCCGCCTCTTTCTCTCATTCCGGTTATAATTAGGAAGATGTTGCCAGAGAAGGCAGAGGTTTTACTCCTGGCCCCCCATTGGCCCAGACGTCCCTGGTTCATGGATCTGGTGAACTATTGGTGGCTTAACCTTGGAGGATCCCCCCTCCAAGATTTTCTTCAGCCAGGGGGCCCTGCTTCATCTGGAACCCCAAAGGCTCCAGCTGGCTATCTGGCAATTGAGTGGGGTTCCTTAGCCAAAGACAGTTTCTCTTCTAAGGTAATTGCAACTATCCGGGCATCTAGGAAAGCTTCAACTAATCACATATATGAAGCCACTTGGAGGACCTTTAGCCTATGGTGTACTAAAACTAAATGTACGGTCACTTCAACTTCTATAAGCAATGTTCTGGAATTCCTCCAGGATGGACTGGACAGAGGGCTCTCGCCCAATACTCTTCGCAGGCAGGTGGCAGCTTTGTCTTCAGTATTATCTGCGGGTACATTGGAGTCTCTCCCACCATCCCTTGGTTGTAGGTTCCTCAAAGGAGTATGAACCTGCGACCACCGGTAGTCCACAGGTATCCTACATGAGACCTTCAGTAGTCCTGCAGACTCTTACCGGGGCTCCCTTTGAACCATTGAGATCTATTGGCCTGAGGTTCCTCACAATTAAGGTGGCCTTCTTGGTAGCTATCATGTTGGCTAGAAGGGTTTCAGAGCTGGCAGATCTATGCATTTTCCACCATAATAGGGTGGTTCTGTGGTTAGACCCTACTTTTGTTCCGAAAGTTAACTCTTTGTTCCATAGAGTGCAAGAGCTGATATTGCCGGATTTTTGTCTGAATCCTAGCCACTTGCTTGAAAAGAAGTGGCATGCTCTCAATGTTCGCAGAACACTACATATATATGTTAAAATGACATATTCTTTCTGAAAAACAGAATCGCTTTTTGTATTTTTTCAACCGGCCACATTACCAAATCTCTCCATCTACGATGGTCAGGTGGATTTGGTCCTCCTGCATATCTATGGCTTGCAAGACTTGGGGTCTCCATGTGCCCAGTAGACTTACTGCTCACTCCACAAGGAGTGCAGCCACAACTGCATCTTGGGCTACACAGGTCTCTATAGAGGAGATATGCCAGGCTACCACTTGGTCATCACCTTCCCCATTTATCCATCATTACTGTCTGGACACTTTCGCTTCTGCGGATGCAGCCTTTGGCAGATGGGTGCTCCAGTCTTGCAGCAGATGGACTTGGACCAGACCTAACCCTTGGACCAGACACGCCAGCTTTGGTAAGTCCCTAACCTGGACTCTTGCAGCAGTCTAACGGAGAAAGGGCACTGGCTTACCTGTGACGCCCATTCTCGTTGGACTGCGAAAGAGTCCAGCCCCACCCTGAGGAGGTCTGGTAGCTCGGGGGGGGGGGGGGATCTTATTATTTGTTTTCAGAAGACATGACACATCTGTCAAGATCTCTTCACCGAAAGCTGGGTAAACATGGCAACAGAAGCAGGTCTAAACAGCTTGGTAGACTCCGTCCCAAGACGAAGGAGGCAGAGTTTTCCCTAACCTGGACTCTCTTGCAGCCCAGTGAGAATGGGTGTCTCAGGTAAGCCAGCACCCTGTTGTGTGAAGTTTTAAGACTTGAGAGCCCTTTATTTGTGTTGTCTTGTGTGAAAAATATTTCTATGAACTGTTTCCTAGTTCTACTTCCCAGGCAATAGATGACTATACAAACTCTCAAGGTAATTTCTGGAAAGGAATATAGCACTTGTTTTTAGTTTCCATTTTATAAAGATTTTTGCTCTGGAATGATAAATGTGCATGTGTTGCTTATTAGAATTCTAGATGTTGAAGTAATTGCTATATATATCTGTTATTGCAGAAGATTCTTTGCCTCTGTCTGTTTTTCTGTCATTTGGTCTATATGTTGGTCTGTCTGTCATGTGTGTATGTGTACTTCTCTGTATTTAAATGGGTTTCTGGCAATACATCATTTTCCAGGTACAAGTCTAAAGATTCAATATGTACCTTTTAGAACTTTAGAAACTTTAGAAACAAATGATTTTTTATTTTTAGAACTTCATCATTACTAGAAAACAGCATATCATAGAAAGCCTTTAATCAAGTTTGATCTTGTTTTGCACAGGAGAATTTTGTGTGGGTCTGGATTACTTGGAAATGTATAGTCACCAATTACATTTTGAAGTGTAATCTTGAGGACTTGAATCATAAGATGGAGTGAATGCAGAAATATTTTCTTAAATAGCTACATGCTTTTCTAAACAGGTTATAATAATTTTGTATTATAGTAGTAATATCTTCATCTATGTTGCATCAATTTAATAGGACTGAATTTTATGCAGCCATAGTTTTCAGCACTAAAACTTCTGACATTTGAAAATAATATTTTTATAGGCTACTAAAGGATTTGAAGGTTATAATTTAAGCTGCAACTTGCAATCACATACTGGTAAGTATACAGGATATTGCTAGAAATGTGTTAATATTAGCTATTCTTACTTTTAGGGTCTGGGGATGATACTCGATCCTGGGGACCACCATTTGTTGGAACTGAAAGTGTTTATTTTCTCAGTGTAAACAGAAATAAAAAGGTAATAAAAAGTCCTTGTAACATTAAACATTTTAAAGCATTCAATTCATTGTTTCTACATAGGCAGTTCCTGTTGCATATGCATACATAGGGCATTGTTTAAAGGTGAAACAGCTATTAGATGCAATTGACTCATTGTTTCATTAATGTTCTAAGTGGATTTTTTTTCCAATAATGTCAATAATTCAATAATAAAGTCGATAACTGAATACAAAGTTGTTTTTATATTATTAAGAGAATTACATTTTTTCTTTTTACTAGAGTATAGCTATCAACATGAAGAAGGCCAAGGGAGCAAAGATAATTAAAGAGGTGAGTTTAAACTGAAAAATAAATCCTTATTTATCAAAGGAAAATGCTCATGTTGAAAAATATGCAATAGATATTTGGGGGAGAGGTTGTCATTTAATGACAGAATATAGGTTTTGCTAATAAGTAGTAATTCAAACTGTGTCATATCCAAGTCTAAAGTATTAAAGTGTTTCTACCAATCACTCTAGATTTCCTAAATTAGACAGATTAATATTTTTCTAAATTTAAGCCATTTCCCTATATTTCATATCATGGATGGATAACATATACTCTGTGGTATTCAAAAATAAGTTTCACTGAGTTGAATTGGGTTTATTCCAAAGTAAGAATATGTAGCATCTTTCTTGAAAGTTGGGGAGAAAAAAATCTTCCTATTATTAGGAAGATTTTTTCTCTCTCCAACTTTCAAGAAGGATCTTTAGTTATTGCTGTTGTATCAGTCAATTATAGTAATAGACAATCATGATTAAATAGTATGGAAGTTTCTTGCTGTTGTGCTAACAACTTCTAACCACTAATATCTGCAAGTGAATCAAAATATTTAGTACATGTTGAACAATAGGAACCATCAAAATTACCATGCTAGTAGGGCCTCCAAGAAAAACAAGAATACTGAAACACAAAAAACAACAGACCAGTTCCTCCATAATAATGGACCATTTTCCCAGATGCCACTTCACATTTTAATTGGATTTAACAACCAGCATACAACATTGCTGAAAATTTAACAACTATCTCTTGCAAGCTGCTAAGAGCCACTTCCAGCACACCATTGATTATAGGAATTGATATTCTATAATATCTGTGAATACCTGAAATAGGGAAGGCTATCATATAAGATACCTATAAAATTTTCATAGTAGAAGTTTAGAACCTCAGGTACAGTCCAGAAAAAAGATTTGCAAATTTACAGACTTGTGAATTATTGATATTGAAATGTTGCTGTATTTATTTTAGAATTATACATATTTGTTTGATAATAAGTTCATGGTACTTGTTACAAGTATACTTGTCTAGGATTGATTAGCCAAGGGATCGGCAACCTTAAACACTCAAAGAGTCATTTGGACCCGTTTCCCACAGAAAAGAAAACACCGGGAGCCACAAAATCTTGGTGGGCATGGCCAACTTGACATTACTCACTCCCATCCAGTCACATTACCAGCCCCCAGCCATTCCTACCCAGCGTTTGTGGCTCCTGGTATTTTCTTTTCTCTGTGAAACAGGTATCTCTCTCTCCCTCTTCCTCTGTCTCTCTCTCTCTCTCTGTCTCTCTCTCTGTCTCTGTCTCTCTCTCTCTTTCATCTCTTTCGTTTCTCTCTCATCTCTCTCATTTCTTTCTGTCTCTTTTCTTTCTTTCTCCCTCTATCTCTCTGTCATCTCTCTCTCCCTCTTTCTCTGTCTCTCTCATGTTTCTGTCTCTTTCTCCCTCTCCCCCTCTCTCATCTCTTTCTCTTTCTCATTTCTCTCGCTGATTTCTCTCTCTCTTTCTCATACCCCTCTCATCTTTCTCTGTCTCTCTCTTTCTCCCCCCCCCCATCTCATCTCTCTTTCTGCTGATGTTGTTTTTTCTTCTTCTTTGGGTGCTTTTTACCATACGATTTAAATCAAGAGTCATTTCAGCTTCTCAGATAAATGAAGTTCTTTCGTCCCCCTGCTGTGGCTCCCTGTCAGCCGAACCCACCCCTGGCTGGCTCTGCCCCTCATCCTCTCCTCCCAGTCACTCCTCGCCTAAGAAGATAAGGGTGACGGCAGTTGATGGAGACTCGCTCCATATTCCAGAGTGGGAGCGAAGCGCCCCTCTATTTGCCTCTTCTTCTGGCCCTTTTTAGTGCTGCACCTCGGTTGCTCGGGGAGATGCACGAGTTTCTGACCCGAGACACTGGCCCAGCCTGACTGCAGCCAATGCTCTGCATTGTAATGGGCTCCAGGAGGAGGAGGGGATGCTGTCTCTCCCCTTGTAAAGTGCACTAAATTTAAGTCTGCTGTGCAAGAAGCTACAAGAGCAACAAGTAGGCCATGGAAGCAGCGAGAGCATCAGCATCATCCGCAGCTGGGCCGGGCCAGTGTCTTGGAGTGGAGAGAGAGTTGCATGTCTCCCCAATCAAGTGCATGTAGCACCAACAAGGGCCTGAAGAAAAGGCAAGTACAGGGGCACTTCATGCCCACTTAGGAATATGTAGTGAGTCTCCATCTGCCGCCGTCACCCTTACCTTCTCAGGTGAGGAGTTGACTGGGAGGGAAGGGTGAGGGACGGGGCAACCAGTGATGCGTTAAGCTAATAGGGAGGTGCAGCAGAGGGCCCAAAGAGCCACAAGCAGCTCTGGAGCTACGGGTTGCTGACACCTGGATTAGCAGTGGCTAAAGACGCTGAGTTTGTTGATCAGAAAGGTCAGCAGTTTGGCGGTTCGAATCCCTAGTGCCGCGTAAAGGAGTGAGCTCCCATTACTTGTCCTAGCTTATGCCAACCTAGCATTTCGAAAGCATATAAAAATGCAAGTAGAAAAATAGGGACCACTTTGGTGAGAAGGTAACAGTGTTCTGTGCACCTTTGATGTTTAGTCATGCCAGTCACATGACTAGCGAGACATCTTTAGACACCGTTGGCTCTTCGGCTTTTTAACGAAGATGACCATCACCCCCTAGAGCTGGAAACGACTAGCATGTATGTGCAAGGGGAACCTTTACCTTTAGGATAGCTTTTGAAGGAAGTACAACTGTATTGAAAGCTGCTGCTTTGAAAGTCTGTCCATTAGGTTTGTAAGTCAAAAAAGTAATCAAATGTATCAGACTTAATTTTAAAATCAAATTCATTAATTGATTCAAAAGGTTCATTAAATGAACGAAGATCTGACTTACTATTTCCTCTGATTCATTAATTGATCGCTGCTATCATTAACTGAACTGAGAGGCTTTCCTACCAGCTGCCTATCAACTGTTTCTGGCTGAGGACCTAAATTGCCTCCAAGGAGGCTCACAGAGCTCTCCATTTGCAGTTGCTTTTTTTTAAAAAAACCATCTGCTGCTAATCAGCTCAAGCTTCTTTAGACAGCTGTAGGGATTGGGGTGGTAATTTACAGAACTCTCCGATTGCAGTTGCTTAAAAAAAAAAAAAACACACACTTGCCACTAATTAGCTTAAGAGTTTCGAGCCGGGGACATCCAGCTGTAGTTCTGGCGCCATTGGAAGTGAGGACCGTGATCTCTGTGGCCCTTTTCCAAGCTTGCCCTGTCGGAGGGCTCCAACCAGAGCCAGAGCCACCTTGGAGATAAAGGGGGACCGCCTCTCTCTTCCCTGACTTGGAAAACCCTCTCATCTGAAGATGAGGTGCAGCAGCAATCAAAATAGCTGCCATGAAGCCAGGGACAATCTGAACACCTAAGTCAGTGCAGGAACGAAGAGATGTGGAATGGTGTGTGAACTGGGTGAGAGAATACTTTTTTGCTGAAATCTGACCCCAAGAAATCTAAAAGTGATATGTTTTTAAAACTACTTGTCATAGCGGCATATAAGCACTTTGAAAAAAATACTGGAGAATTTAAGAAGAGAAATTTTGTTTTAAATAAAAAAGAAAATTAAACTCTCAAAGCAAAAAGACATGGTATGGAAAAGGCATATTAAATGCTGGAATTATGGTCCCAAACTTCTTTTTTAATTAATACAGTTTATTTACTGGATTTACAATTTATAATTGGAATATTGAAAGTTGAAAATAATTAAATTGGACTTGTCAACAACAAAGCAGAGAGGCTGAAACAGATTAAAGCAAAGAACGTCATCTGCTGATGGAAGGGGAATTATGCAACTTGTGAATAACTATTTCAAGGACTGGAAATATCTACAGAATTGCATGTATCTACTCTAAGACCATTGGAAACTTGAATCTTAAACAAGAACTTTACCTAAGAGACCCCTGAATATTATTGAAATATTATTGAATATATAAAAGAGACTAGCACCCCCTGGTATATTCAAATGGATTAGGCTGATTATTGATGAGACATTAAAACTGTGACTTGGAAGCTCTGTTTTTGAATCAATAATTCCTGGATAATTGACTAAAAAGGAGATTATTAAACTAAGTCGCAACACAAGGTGAAAATGAGTGGAGATTCAAACAGAATGGAGCTAATGTTTCAAAGTATTAAAGACCTTATACAGGAACAACAAAGGAAATATTTGATCACATAGCTCGAAAACTGGAAAATATTATACAAGGGACAATGAGTAAAAACCAGGACAATGAGGGAAAAATGGAGAAGGAATGGAGAGGAAAGCAGAGTTGAGAAATCAGCAAAAGGAAGACAACAAGGAGATATTACCAAAATTAATAATGATTAAGGAATTAACATAGGAGGAAAATATTTTAAAAGATCCAAAGTGGAAGTGGGAGAAACAGGAAGAATTTGAGGGGAAGGGGGAATAAAAGTTAGAGCAGATAGCCTCAAAAATAGACAATGGGAAAGGGTAAAGAGAGGAGAAAAAGTTGGATTGTATAGGCCAGGGGTTGCCAACCTTTTGGACCTCAGGGACCACCAAGCTCAAAATTTTAAATCCCGTGGACCAGAGACCCTGGGAAAATCCCCCAAAAAGTCTGCAGGAAAATTCCCTATCCATTTTTCCTACCGATTGATCGTTTTTTATTTGGGATCAGAGGATACCGTCTCCCGCTCCTTTTTCGGGGGGGGGGGGGGGGGGGGAGAGAGACTTTTGGCTTCATGCAAGGAAAGCAGCAGAAGTCTTTCTTTCTTTCCCCCAAACTCTGGCAGAAAGGAGTCTTTGTGAGACTTGTCATGCCGGCGCAGCCTCTTGGAGCAGGATGCCCTGCAAGGTCCCAAAGACTCATTTCTAGCGGAGTTTGGGGGAGAGAAAGAAAGACTTTTGCTGCTTTCCTTGCGTGCAGCCAAAAGCAGAAGAAGAAAGAAGTGGAAAGAAGCAGCCCGGTGGCCAGGCCAAGGGCGTGGGTTGAGTGGGGCAAGTTGCCCTTTCCCCCTTCCCC